TAAACCCTAAACCCCCTAAACCCCGACAGTCCGAAGCGCCCAGCCGAAACCCTACACCCAGAAGCGCTCGACCCAAAAAGCGACGAGGCTCCTCGGTGGTGCAAGATAGCCCGGCACCTCAGACACACTCCTAAGCGTTTTCGACCCGCCCACGAAAAGGCAAGGCTTTGGGGGTTTTCGAGTTGTGTGCTTGCGGTTTTTTTTTTTTTTTTTTTGGGGNNGGGGGGGGGGGGTGATTTTGTGGTTAGAATTGGTTCTGCGGCCTCTTGGGCTTAGGGTTTCGCCGGGTTTAGAGCTTAGGACGTATGGTAGAAGGTCCTCGTTGCTTTCAAAGTGTCAGCCGCCTGCACCTGCACGGAAAGACCACCAGACAGGAAAGCTTCACTGGGTTTAATTAGGGTTTAGGGCTTACGGTTCTCAAAGCCACCCGGAGAAAACCGTAAACGAGGCACAGGAAGCAGTTGAATCAGCGCAAAATCTCGAACTCTGTAGCCTCAAACAAAAGCAGCCACCGCAGCAGCCACAGCGGCAACAGCAGCAGTAGCAGCAGCATTGGCATTTTTGGGAGTGGCTGCAGCAGAGTTGTCATGAGCCTCACTTTGCTTTCCTCATGAGCCATCTTCGAGCCGAAGCGCACTGTGCACCCAGCGCCAGGCACTGCGACTTCAACTGGGCGCAAGCAGCAAAAGGGCAGGACAGTGTGTATGCATGTATGTATGAATGCATTTATGATATGCATTACGAATGCACTCGCACGTACTTGCATGCTTGCATCCAGACAGGCAGACAAACAGAAGGACGGACGGACGGACGGACGAACCAACGGACGGACCAACGGACGGACGGACGGACGGACAGACGGACAAACGAAAAGACGGACAGACGGGCTGACCGACCGTCAAGCATACGGACATACATACATACATACATACATACATACATACATACATACATCCATCCATCCATCCATCCATCCATCCATCCATCCATCCATCCATGCATGCTTTGCTTGCTTTGAATTTGCAACCTCGCACACATTCCTGAACTGTAACCAAGAAGTCTCGGTCTGTTTGGGCATAGGATGATCGAAACCTTTTAGTTTCGGCTGTGCCTGCCGGAGTTTCTCAAAATTCCAAGCTCGCCTTCTGTAAAATCCAGGTGTACGAGTTCAGTGGTACGGGATTTAGGATAGGGTTTAGGGTGTAGGGTTTAGGATTTAGGATATGGACTTGGGGACGCAGCCTAGGGGATTTGGGAATTGCGGCGAGGAACGCGTAAGGTTCTGGGTTCATAAGTCGTCGGTGCTTAGATTCTGGGCAGCAAACGGCTCACACTGCCCCCGGGGTCGGCTCCACGAGCGAACAGACATACGAGGAAAAGCCATTGCAAAAACAATTATCTGCGTTGCTTGAAGCTCGCACACTCGGGTGTAGGTTTACAAAAATGTTTTCTTTTGTCTCTCTCTCTCTCTCTGAGTCTCTCTCTCTCTCTCTCTCTCTTTCTCTTTCTGCCGTTGCATCCAAAGGGTCTAGCAGCACCAGGCAACGCGTGAGGCTCAGCCCTTCAGGCCCCTCACATTTATAACAGTTTTTCCGCCTGCAAATAGTCACCCGTCTACGACATAATTGTGGGTTTAGGGTTTAGGTTACATGCATTCCCTACATGGTGGAAACTCTGCGAAGGCGATCTTTGCCTGAAAAAATCCCAAAACGGCTTAATCCCCAACCCTGAACCCTGAACACCCAAACCTTTTTGAAACCGGACTTGATGACTGCCAGCATTGAACACCCAAACCTTAAATCCCAAACCCTGGCTGCTTCAAAGCCCTTAACCCTAAACCCTTTTGCTGCAGGCTTGCAAGCAATAACGCCTGGTAGCTAGCCACTCGTCCGCCGACTAACACTGTACTCGTGACAGTGCTTCCAGCTTCCGAGGAACTTGACTGAAAAGGCACACTAGTCCGAACTTGTCATAAGCATTTTGGTGAATAGCACACAGTTCCGGGTAATACGCTAGCACAAGATCCTCCTGGAGGTATATGTCCAAAAGAAGTCCATCAAACTCGAACTGCAGCCAACAGAACCACAGGCGACATACGTCTTGAGGAGAGCCAGCACGCTGGAAGGTTTGCATGCCTTCAACTCTATCCAACCAAGAAAAAAACCCTAAACCCCAAACCCTAAACCCTAGACCCCAAACCCTCTATCCCCCGAACTTTCCGCGCCGGGCAGCGGTCGAGGAAGCTCCTCGCCCCAGGATGCTGCCGGGAAGCCTGCAGGGCTGGTGTAGGGTTTACGGCTCAGGGTGTAGGGCTTAGGGGTTTAGGGGTTTAGGGGTTTGGGGTTTAGGGGTTTAGGGTTAAGGGGAGTTTAGGGCAGGGTTTTAAAGTTTAGGAGATTAGGGATTAGGGTTAGGGGTCCAGGGTTTGGAGTGTAGGAGAACCCTGCAGAGGCCGAGCCCGTCTTTGGGGTTTGGGGGTTTACTGTAATAAGGGCCAGAAGCGGAGCATCTAGCTTCTCGTGCTCTGCCGCCCAAGCCCTCAACCTCCAAGCTCTCTGAAACTCGAAGCCTAAACCCTAAACCCTAAAACCCTAAAACCCTAAAACCCTAAAACCCAAGAGCCTCAAAGAGTCGGGTTTCGAACTTCAAGTAGCGCCGGGCGGCCGCACGTCAAAAACGACGGCGAAGTGCTGCCAACTGTAGGAGTGCGCTTCAAAGACCACCTTGTCCTCGCGTTTCGGGAGCAGCAAAACTCAGGGTTTGGGGACCAATCTCAGGGAGGCTTAAGCTTCGGGCTTAATGTAGGGGCATTAATAGTCAGAATAGGGCCCGTTATACTATAATTGTATCAAGGAACCCCCCAAAATACTGTAGGTGATTATTTAGGCCCCTTTATTGGGGCTGAGCGAGCACTGGGCCTGAAAATGTTGAATCCAGTGGTCAACGCAGATGGAATGCTGGGTTTTGTGGTTTGGGGTTCAGGGCCTCAGGGTTTCGGGTTTAGGGTGCCCAGCTGATAGCAAAGAGCCTGGGTTCAAAAAGGGTTTAGGGTTCGGGGCTTCAGTGCTGTAAACCGCAAACCCGGAACCCGGGGTTCAGGGACATTACCCACAAGCCCGAGATCTAAACCGCGGGCCTGCCCAAACCCTGAACCCGACACCCCCTCTAACCTCTCAACCCAGGCAAGCCCTCTCTCATCAAAGCTATTCCAAATATTGAGGCCCCCTGTACTAAACCCTAAACCCTAAACCCTAAACCCCTACACCCTAAACCAAAAACCCCTAAACCCTAAACCGCGGGTCCTTTGGCAAACTCGGCGGCTTCCTTGGCTTCGGCATGTGGCTTTGAAACAGCTGGGGATCTCTTTAGCGGAGCTGGGATCCCTCATTACGAGGATCCATCTTAGTCCTGTTTGGTCCGGGTCGATGCTTGGGATCTCAGGCCTTTTTTTTGACTCCTGCATCAAAACATGTGTCTCCAAGCCTAAAGGTTTAGGGCTCTAGACCCCAAAACCCCCCTAAACCCTAAACCCTAAACCCTAAACCCTGTGAAGCCTGAACCCTAAACCCCAAACCCCAGACCCCAGCTACGAAGCTTGAAGCAACCCTAAGCTGACTGTAACACCCAGGGCTCTCCTAACAACACTCGGGCCCGAATCCTGAGCCCAGTATCCCAAACCCTCAAGTCCCTGGACCCTCTACGATGTCTCTCAACCGATGTAAAAACCTATAACGTAGGGGCCTTAATAATTAGAATATATATATATATATATATATAATTATAATGAGGAACCCCCAAAATAGTATTGGCAATTATTGAAGCCCCTTAATTCGAGACTTTTGGAACCCTACAACGCCCTGCTGTATCACGCAAGCGTGGGTCCCCAAGACAGCGACAGCGCACCACGACGACCAAGTCGACCACGACCACCACGGTCAACGCGATCGTCAAGAGACCAGCAGATCAACAGGAGACCACGAGGAGACAACGCGGAGAATGACGGTTTATGGTTTAGGGTTTAGGGGAGACCACCCCAGGACCACCATAAAACAACCCGGAGACCACCAGGGACAGCAGGGCCTAGTACTGGCGGGATTCACAAGCGTGACCATAATGCTTGCATGCCCTGGCAGGATTCAGAGACATCTCTCCACAACTGCGCAAGAGTTAACAACTACAGGAACCTGTAAATAGAGAACCTAAATAACCCAGCCCTAGTCCCATGACAGCCCTTATGGAAGCCTTAAAGGAGCCCCATGAAGGAACCCTAAACGCCTAAGCTACTCCAAGCATCTCTCCGACCTCGCGCAGGTCGAAGGAATAGTCCAGACCACTGAGAGAGATCAGAAGGTCCGGGTTCTCTTCGAGGACCACATGCCTGGAGTTAACAAAAGGGTTTAGGGGTTTAGGGTTTAGGGTTTAGGGATTAATATAGGACCACATACCTGGGTTTAGGGCTGAGGGTTTAGAGTTTCGGGTTGAGGGTTTGGAGTTTAGGGGGCTCTCTTCAAGGACCACATACCTGGGGTTATTATAGGGAGGGTTGAGGGTTCAGGGTTTGGGGCGTTCTCATCCAGGACGACAAACCTGAGGTTGATATAGTGGCCGGAAGAACTACCAGTACCATTTTGTTGGGATGGGGGGATTGCATCTTATGAATATCATGTACTATACCCCACAACTCTATTCTAATAAGTTTCCGCCCCTATATTAGGATTCGGCATCTAAGGTTTAGCGACCCGGGGTCCGGTCTTCTGGGTTTGGGAGCTTAGCCGATCTCAAGGTTTGAGACTAGGGTCCAGGCTCTTATCAAACCTAAAGAAGACAATGCAGGAGCTGAGGCGTGTTTCGTTTCTATCGCTTGGCTTTCTTACAACCGCCTGTGAGCGAGATCAAACGAGACACAGGAACGAAAGAACTAATTCAATTAAAGAGAAAGCATGCTTCCGCTCGCTTCTCTCACTCATTATCTTTGTCTTATTAAATGAGGTTGCTTACTCTTTGTTCCTGTGTTTCACGTTTTCTCTTCACACAATTCCAAATGATAAAGGGGATGCGTAAATTAAGTGCAGAGATTTGAAAGACAGCACAAAAAACCACTGTGTGTTAATACCGTGTTAATCAAAAGAAGAGAACGAACGAACCACGCACTTTGTTTGCGTTCTTTTCGTTCTCACTTTAGTTAATTATTAACACAGCACCCACCATCCTCACATCCAGACACCTAGAACTGACTTAGTTAAATCCTGGCTTCCGTGGTGTGTTTACTGAAGTAAAAAACGAATGAAAAGAAATGTAATGCGTGTTTGTTTCGCTTCATTAAATTCACCACATCCTCGTTTCCTGGTTGTTGCCTGTAGGTGGTTTGTAATGGAATACAAAACCATGCAAACACCCTTGTGGAACCCTTGACCCTTGGAAACACCCATAGCACTTTATCAAGCTCTGACTTTCTGCCTAAAAGAACGTCATGTTTTGGGGTTATAGTAATTGGTTGTTGGGTCACAGGGGCTTAAGGACCAAGCTTTCGGGTGTCAAGCAAGGGCTTTTGGGCTTTGAAGTTGATGCTACCAAAGATGGCCCTGCTGTGACCACAGCGGGACTTCAATATGCATGCAGACGTCACGTGGCCTACAATTTATGGTTGTCTGGGGGGGGGGCCTATGGAAGTGCTGGTGCCCGATGGAGGATCCCTGTGTGCATGCGGTCCTTCGGCTTTACCAAGAAATCGTCCAAGACTCCAACAGAATACAGCCAGAAAAGAGCCCAATCTTCACCCACCGTAAACCGGTAAGATAGCACTTTGGGGAGGGGAGTTTTATGTTGTAGGGTCTAACACAGAAACAGCCCATGTACCACTGCGGTATATTAAGATCCTGAAGCCCTGGGCCGGCCCCTGCCTCTCCCCAAAATCCCAAACTCTACACCCAAATCATACCTCCCCCAAATCCCAAATCCCTGAACCCTTCTAAGCCTAGAATAGACGTTGGTGCATTTTTGCTCCATCAGACTATACTACTAATTATACTACAAACTACCATGACATGCTAAACTCTACCATAACCTACTGTGATATACTCTAGAATACTACTGTAGACTATCATACTTGGTTTAGGGTTTAGGGTTTAGGGTTTAGGGTTTAGGGTTTAGGGTTACTATGCTAAGGCCCCAAGCGCCCAGCGTGCTCCGCCGCTGCGCGCCACTGCAGGTGCTTGGGGCCGGAGGCCCACTGGGCCCCCACGGCCTCGTTCGAGCCGAGGCCGGGCCTGAAGAAACTCCTCGGCTTGTTATATTAATAATTAGTCATAGATATAGATATATATATATATAATAATAATAATAATAATAATAATAATTAATAATAATAATAATAATAATAATAACAATAATAACAATAATAATAACAATAACAATAATAATAACAATAATAATAATAATAGATGTATATATATATATAATAAAAAGAAGAATATTAAAAATAATAAGGGTAATATAGCGGCCTTGATAAGTTGAATAGCGTTTTGGGGTATACTGTATTTAAAGTAAGGAACGCCCAAAATAGTATAGGTAATTATATAAGTGCCCTACATTACGGTTCCAGTGTAGTACAATAGTAATACTAATTTGAAGTGATAATAAGAAGGAAACAGAAGAACGGTACGGTTCTAGAGTACTCATGCACAATATATGCAGGCTTTAGTATATTATGGTATACAAGAATTTAGTATGTTATGGGGTCTCAAAGCATTCTATGGTAAAGTATGGTAGAATCTAGTGTGTATGTGTGCGTATATCTGTATATATATATATATATATATATGTATATATATATATATAGATATTCTGGGCAATATGTAGTAGATGATAGTATGATATAGCGGTCTAGAATGCTTTACACGGGGATTGAATCAGGGGCCGTATCAGGGCTTTCATAAAGGAATATGGAATTCTATGGCATGGTGGACTTCCCAGCAGCGTCGCAGCACTTCTTGCATTCAGGGCCGAGATGTGCCGACAGACTTGTGGTTTCGGGTTTAGGGTTTAGCATGTGGCAGCTCAACAGATGTCCCTCTCCTTTTCTTTCAGGGTCATAAGATTAGGATCTCGACAATTCGGTCTCTGTAGGCTACATTCCATCACCCCTTGTCGATGGAATATTAATTCAATCTTTGAACAGAAGGAAAAGAGAAAAAAAAGGTCGGAAGGGCCTTTGCTAAAGGGTTTCTGCCTTCCCGGGGCCGAGGTTCGCATCGCAGAAAGGTCCAGAGCCCCAGCTTTTGCCAGTGGTGACGCGCCGGATCTCGTTCCTGGGCGGCTCTTGGAAACTTCCGACAGTGCAAGTTTTCTGTCTGAAGATGTACGATACTACCAGGGTTGCAAGTTATGTGTTCAGAAAAAAGCGGGGAGGATTATAAGAAACCTGCTTTCAATAGCGGCCAAGAGTTCTTGAGCCCGGCGGCGACCACTGCTCTGAACTGACGGCTCCTTCGGGCCACAACGCGCCAGGCCTCGATCCAGTCTGTCATACCTGACATGACAAGGGATCAGCAGGATTTGGGGATTTGGGTTTAAGGAGTGGTTTAGGGATAGGGCCTTTAGACAATACGGGGCCGGGCTTCGAGAGGTGTCCTCCCCGGAATTCCCCCTGTCCCCTCCTCCTTATCCCGTTCGCCACCCCTCGAGCTCCTGCCCCCACCCCTCCTTCCCTGTAGCCCTTTTCCATCCCCACATCTTTGCTACGAGTATGGCATGGCTCCGCTGGGTGCTTGCGTTCTCGCGGCTCCTGCGAACGGTGTGCTAAAGTTTCTCTTTCCAGCATAAGCCCTAAAAAACCTAAACCTTCAGCCCTATACCCAAAGGCCGCATAGCAGCTCCTGTTTGTGGCTTATATTTAGGATCGCATTAGGGAATCCCAAAAAGGAACTAACTACTATGGGGCCTATGGGTATAGACCATTAAGCTTCGCCTTGCCTCCCTGCTCCCGGGTCTGCCGGGCCGAGACGGACGGAGCGAGCGCTAAGAATTAGGGTTCCCTGTCCATGGATTTAAGGTCTCGGGTTTTTTTCCCTCTCGCATGGCAGAGAACGGGATTTGGGGTTTAGGGTGGGTTTTCGGTTTTTTCCGGTTGAGGGTGTAGGGTTTTAGGTTTTACAGCTTAGCTTTTGCTTTTACGCTGACCTCAGGTGCTTTATTATTGGCTTACGTGGGATATACGATCCGTTGGGGCATCGAAAACCCCTTGCTCTTAGGATTGCACTAACCCCCAGAACGGCTAAAGGTTGCTGAAATACTATGCAGACACTGTGGTTGGCGTTGAACCAGAAGGCATTGCAGTCAGTTTCAGTGCAGCACCAATCCGTGTCCAGCATGTGGTTGTCCAGCCACACAGCCACACCAGCAGTCTGCAAAGCCTCACAAGCTCCGCTAAAGGGTCTTGGACATTTTTGACACTCACCACTCAGCAAAGCTAGGCGAGGCATGCAGCAGCTCCAGTGCACTACAAGCCCGATCGACGGCAAAGCCCCATTTCTGCTACTGCCTGCGCATCTACCGGGAACGCAACATCTCACTGGCTCCACAGTCACTCGGGGCAACTCGCAGAGCGCCGACTTTTCTGCCCCAGCCATATCCACAGCAAGAGCTTGGTCAGCCCAAGAGATGAAGCGGCTGTTGGCCGCCAGGATCTGCTTCGCTCAGGATTTGTTAAAGGGAAGTGTCTGAACATAAACAACTGCTGCTCAACAAGCTGCTGAGCAACTATACCAATCAAAAGAGAACCTGCACCACAAAGTGCACTGCCGCTGCTGCTTCCGTTCGGTTCGGACAGAAGTAAGAACCCCTAAAGGGCTGAGAAGATGTGTGAAATTGTCGGAAGGGTCGGGGTCAGGCAAGAATTGGCATTTGCCCGAGAAGCCCCGTGGAAAAGCTGCCCAATCACATCTGGCGCAGCAGACATATGCGAGCGATCGTGCCGCATTATGCTTAAAGCCCTACGGTGGACCATAGCCTGTAAATCCCAAACAAGGCACAAACCTTACCTAGGAGAGTCTAGCGTGAAGTGATTGGACACACGCGCCCGCGCGCTGTGAAAGACCTTCTGTACAAGTGCACGAGAAAGTGATTGGATACGCGCGCCTGCACGAAGCGCTGTGAAAGACGTTCTGTACAAGCGAGCGAGAGCCCCACTATATAAAGCATCCAGTCAGGCAATAGTGGTTGGCCTAGTTCCTCAGCCAGTTAGTTACCATGACCTGTCAAGCCGGTCCTGATTTCAATCCTCAGTGGCTCACTCCCACACGGCCAAAGCATGCAGGAAACGACCCCACTGTTCTGCCAGAAGGGCTTTGTGAGCCTCCGGCAGGGTCTGGAGGCGTACGGCAAAGAAGACCGAGGCCCTGAAGGTCGCGTACCGCAGTTTTGAGTGGAAGCGAAGATCGAGCTTGCATCCCCCGAAGAACAAGCCAGAGTCACTGCTCGCCATGTAGCCGACCAGCCGGCGAATCTCAGCCCTCGCATCCCCAGGTAAGCAACCCTGCAAGGAATTCACAAAGGAGGCTGCCTTCTTGCACTTTTCACTCACCATGGCAGTACTTCCACAGACATAGGTCATCAAGCAGAACGCCACGATGCTCGCTGTCAGCTGCGGCAGCATCCAGTCGGTGCGCTGCGAGGAGCTGCTTGGCATGAAGATCCCCCTAATGGGGGCAACTCCACCCATCAGCGCAGTCACACATATGACTCCATATACTGCGTGGCAATGTTCTGTGATCTGCCCGGTAAAAGCAGAGACGCGAGCCCAGCGAACATAGGCTGACTCCACACCTTCAGGGCTACTCGCGTAGCTGCGGCAGAAGACATCCACGAGCTCGCTGACAAACTCGTTCAAACGCAGGAGCCATAAAGCCCAAGCTGCACGATAAAGGCATTGGAGGCAAGGCAACACGGCGACTTGCCATGTCATCTGCCCACCGCCCATTGCAACAAGTCGGACCTTCGCGACATGGCAAACCATCCAGCAGGCGAGGCATGCCGTGATCACAAGGATGTGCCATTTGATGGCCGACCTTTGGGCTGGACCCATGTCTTGGGACCGCATGGCATCCTTCACATGTGCACTGAACTCGCGGAAGCTGATGCTGCAAGCTTTCTGCAACAAGAGGATCAGGTTCGCAGTAGCTTCCGCCACATGCAGCCAGCGGCCGCCCATTTGCCACCCGGTGTCTTCTCCAGCGATCGCCGTGTTGCCCACAGCATCATGCACATCAGCACCGCAGCACCGCGCACACTTGCGACCCACATAGGTTGGCCATGTAGGACCACACCAATGGGCAAGAGAAGGATGATGCAAAGCCGATTGATACAAGCCTGACGGCACTGGTCGTGGCCGAGAGCCACCTCATCTTTGCTCTCTGCAGCCGAAACCAACCGCCCCAACACAACTTTGTCGACTGCAGAATACAAGCTCCTCATGGATGGACGGTGCTGTACGACGTCTTCGAGTGGAAGGGACCCTGTCCCTGTCTTTTGCACCGCTCCAGATGTAACTCTTGGCGGAGATGGGTCTGGCATGATGCGGTCGAGGCGCTGGGAAGCCGCCAAGGATCCACCTGCCATAGCCGTGCCATAGCCCGCTCATGCAGCTGTTTCTGCAGCTGCTCCACTGTGGAATCACTTTCGACGCGATAATGACTCGCTCCGGACATTGCTCTGGGAACATCCTCGGGGGGCTCCACCTGTGCCACCGGACGTGGAGATCGAGGGCTGTCCATGGCGGTAGCAATGTTGTGGCTCTGGGATCGTCGACCAAGGCTTGATGCTCAACTAGCATTGAGCCATAGCCAAGTGCTTAGGGCTTTGGATTTAGGGTTTTTAGGGTGTGTGGGCGGGCTCCGGAGACTCTAGTGACTTGCATAGCCTCTTCTCCGTGGTCTATCCGTGAAACTTAGTGGCCCTGCTAACAGATATGTACATACTCACGGAAATCAAGGGGCCTCTAAGCATACAGGGCTTTTGCAGTGGGCTTTCTAAGAACCTTGGCTCACCGGGACCGTGGCTCCCACTTCGAGAATCTCTGCCAAGGGAGGTGCCTCGATCACTGCGTCCATGACATCGAGGGCACGCTTTCCCAGCAGCCTAGGCTACTCAGGGGCTTTAATTTCTATCTCGTTCTAGTAGCACAGTGCTAACAACCGAGGAGTTCTTAAAAAAAGGATCGTATCGTATTGGGGTTGGGGGTGCCCCTAGCTTTCAAAAGACAAAATAAAATACACATAGTGGTGGTGATAACAAAAATTTTAATAACAATAATTTCATAATAGCTAGATATATTCCTTGGTTGGGGCATGGGGTTTTGGGCTTGGGGTGTGTTGGATTGAGCTAGGGTGTTGGATCGGGGGGCGATTTAGAGGCCCTGACAACAAAAATCCTACTACGTGGGGCTCTTCTATACTAGGACCCCTTCTGAAAATCCCAGAAGCGATTGAACAACAAAAAGACGCTTGTAGGTGTGTAGGGCGGTAGGCAGGCAGACAGGACAAGGGTGGAGTGTTTTGCAGCAGGGCTTCCGCGGCGTGAACGTCTTGTCTGCTTCAGCCCAGGTCTCAAACCCTCAACCCAACTAGCTGCAGATCCCCGGCACCCTAGCCGAGCCACTGCGGGTTTGCGGCCACTCTCCGGCTGGTAACCGTTGGGTTGGTGAGCACCGTGTTGACCTGCAGCGACCGGTTTTCGAAGCTCCTTCCCCTAGTGATACAGGAGGAATGGCTGGTTGGGTGCCCTCAATGTCGGGACTTTGTGAGCTTGGTCCTATCTTTCTACCGGGCACAGAGCGGTCCGTAGGTGAGCTATTGGTGAGTTGAAGTAGCTGTCGTTGAAGGGAGTGCTGTCCAAACTGTGTGGTTAAGCATGGGTAAGTGGCAAGCTGCTTTGATTCAAGATACATGTGTATGTATTTGAGGAACCGGGCACCGATGTTTTGGAGGAAACCGTGAACTAGCACCGGTTCATAGACACTGTAATGCACCAGAAAAAACTGGGGACCGCACAAACACAAAAGTTCAACTTTGCATCCTGACTTTCAACCGTTGCGGAGCAACTTTGGAAGGCTTGATTGAGTCTTTGGGTAATAGCAAAGGCGGCTAGGGTCCAAACCCCCTCCAAACTCGAAGCCCCTACCCCGAACCTCGAAACCCTAAACCCCAAACTCTAAACCCCTACCGAACTCCAAACTGGCCCTAAACCTGCAAAATTGCAAAAACCCACGTCGGAGCCCAAGTACTTCGCCTCATGCATGGTTTATATAGGAACCTGATTAAGAACCCTGTGCCTGTAATAGGGTTCTTAATATTAAACCTAATATATTGGGGTTATAGGGCCAGGGTTTCTTAATCAGGTTCCTACATTACCACCGACCGGATCTCCGTAGGCACCCTTTTTTTTGCCTGCTTACCCCAAACCCGGGTTTAGGGTTTCGACGCTCTCTCGCACAGCAGGCCAGGATCCACACAAGTCCGTCACGGCTACAGATGCCCGGGCACTCAAACCACAAAAGAGCAGGGTCCGGGGCGTTGGGGTCTTGGACTCGCCAGATGAGGTTCGTGGTTCGAATTGCCAACAGCAACCAGGCCAGGGGGCAGGGAATCCAAAGGAAAAGTAAGGATGCACTGCAAGTGAAATTCCCTTGGCACATGTCTAGGTGCATCAGAATCCGACTCTGCTGAAAAGCATGAAGTGACTTTGGAATAATCTGCAAAACGACCCACGCACAACCTGACGTTCGGAATCTGTGGAGCGGCTTAGGGTTTTGCGGCATAGTGGGGTTTCGGGCATAGTGACCTGATGGTTACTCATGATATCCCAAGGCGCATCCCAGGTGAGGCGCACCACATTGAAGCCTTCCAAAGTGCAGAAGCGGCTTAGGGCTTTGAGGCTTGCGGGTCTGCATAGGGTTGGGATTCAGGGCGTGGGTGGTTTTAGCTTCTTGGCTTCTTTCGGGCTCGCAGAGCGTTTCCTGTGTAGCCGGAAGCGAAAGCTTGGATTCGAAGTTTCGGGTTCTCGGTTCGGGGGCAGCTTTGGGGCTATGTCTTCATACCTTTTAGAGCTGAGAATGAGGGAGTTAGGGCTTAGCTTAAAACTTAGACAAGCTTACCATCCAGTCTTCAAGGATTTTACCAAAAGTCCAGTCTCTCTGTTCACCTAGGAGCGAGGCTGTCGCATCCAAGGTTTGGGATAAACATCCTTTCAACTGGCTTTTAGGCTAAGGGCTCCATAGACCACAAGGCAGTGAAGCCCGTGTACACGCTCCAAAGCCCTAAACCCCAACCTCTCTCTCTCCCTCTCTCGCGGGCTCGATCGCCCGGCACTGATAGCTCGTAGAACGAAGAAGAGCATTCCTCTCAAGATGTTCATGAGAGGCTGCAGGCTGCAAGCATCAATAACAAAAACGACGGACCGTCAACTGTAAAAGGGAACCCGCGGGGCAGCGCCATCGCCAAGAAAACCCTGAAAGGGTCACTGCAAAAAGGTCCTGTTACAAGGGTGACTAGACTGGGCTCTGGTATCGAGTGACGACTCCGGGGCCTGAAAATCCTAAACCCTAGAGCCCTCAACCCCAAACTCTACACCCCAAATGCTAAACCCCAAATGCTCCACATCGCCTTGTGCTCGGATCCTCGTGGCTATCGATGCCAAAGGCCTCATGGGACTGGGGCTTTCAAGGCTCACTAAAGGTACTTAGGAGGTGCATCACGTAGTATTTAGGGCCTCGGGTTTAGCGTTTAAGGTGAAGGCTTAGGGCTACTAGTAAGAAGAAACATGTAGTATGTGGGCTGGCAGATTTTGCCCCCAGCTGACCAAGTCGCACCGCAGGGAAGACTGTCCGAACGTGTGTGGACGCCAAGCTTACCCATACTCTCCGAAGTGAATCCCTAAACCCTCAACCCTAAAACCTAAGCCCAAGACCCGCTTCGACAACCGAAAGACAACACGGGAAGCAGAATGGCGTCGGGATCCACGGTCCTATCCAACTATCGCAAAGGAGACACTTCCTAGCCTCAACAAATCGGACAGAGCCCTCATTAGGGGTCTGGCAGAGCTTTTAGGCCGTCTTCGGACTTGCTTCCCTAAGCTTAACAAACGGGTAAGACGAGGCTCCTGCAAAATCCTCCGGGCTTTCAAACCCAAGTCTGGGATGTCGGTATGCTGCAAACATGTCAACAAACGAAAATCCTAGATCTCAATCGCAAGGCGTGCCCTCTTGCACTCCCTTGTTTGTCGTGGCTTTGTGTTGCTCCCAGCCCGTTCTTTACCGTGCAACCTGAGGCGCCTGAGCCCTTTCTTACACCCTGCTTCCAAATCTCAGAGCATTCAATTCTGAACCAAGGACCCCGGTGGCTCCATCCTGATGTAGGGGCCTTAAAAATTAGAGCAGGGCTTTGGGCCAATTATACTATAATATTTGTGTAGGCCCAGTGTAGGCCCCTACATTACAACCTCACCATCCGAAAAAACAAAAAACGCAGCCAAGGCACGCCCTATCCAGGCCAGACGGCACGTGGTTGATGTGCGCGCCAGGCCAGTTCACGCCTTGCAGCCGCACCTCAAATACAAAAGCCCGAAAATCCTCAATGTTTGGGGCCCTAATAATTAGATTAGGGTTTCATAGGGTTCCTTTGTAAAGGGTTCTATAAGGGCTACTATCAGGGTTTAGGGTTTAGGGGCCTTAATGCTTAGAACAGGGTTTTGGGGTATATTATACTATAACTACAATCAGGAACCCTCAAAAGAGTACAGGAAATTCTTCAGACCCCTATATTCACCAAGAGGTTTAGGGCTCAGGCCTGCGGGGTTCCGCGTTCAGGGTTGAGGGCTCAGGGTTTTAGATTTCGGGGTAATGTAGGGGCCCTAATAATTAGAATAGGGTTTTGGGGGTTCCTTATTATCATTATAGTATACTGGGCCCCAAAATCCTAGTCTAATTATTAAGGCCCCTATATAATCGGTATCGGTTCTATAAGGTTCTACGAGCAAATCGAAGCACAGCCCAGAAGCTAAGCCCGACCAAACCGGAAGCCCCAAACACGCAAACTGACCGTTAGGTCTTAGGGTTTCAGCACTCACTCTCGGACAAGCCTAGGCGAGGTTCCTGGTAGGCCTTAGGGTTTAGGGTTTAGGGTTTAGAGATTCGTAAAGCTCTAAAGCACCCAAAAA